CCCTAAACGCTAGACCCTATACGGTAAACACTAAACCATAGACACTAAACCCTAAACGCTAAACGCTAAACCCTAAACCCTAAACACAAAACGCTAAACCCTAAGACATAAACCCATTAGCCCAAAACTATATTAGCTGTTTAAACAATTTGTTAGAATTATCGGTGGATTTGTAGCCATGATTTAATAATCTATGTTTCCGATTAATAAATTTATTAGCCATATAATTTAAAAAAATGCCACATCCCGTGGGAGATGTACACGTTCAAATCTAAAAATATTTGAATAATTTGGATATCAAGTTGCAAATCTAAAAGACTTGATAGATGACACCTATAGTTTAAATGTTAACACGACAACAACAAATAGTGGTTTCCTCCCGTCGACAATTAACATACGACTGTTTGACCAGTTCGAATGACTTAGCCAAATTAACAGTCTAAAATCATAAATAACCGAGTAGAAAATCTAAAACATGGCTAACAAACATTGTCATTTCCGAGACTTCTTTGACAAAGCTGCGACGACCTCAAAAATCTCCGTTATGTCCTTCTTCATGTCCTCTAGTTGTTCCTTAATTTCAACCAGGTCGTCCTCCATACACGATTGTCTGGTAGACAATGCTTCTAATTCCTCAAAATGGGTCGGCCCATTTAAACAAATGATTGTCGCCGAAAATAGCTCCGCATCTGTAAAAACGCCTACCAGGGTTATCTTTTGTCTTTGATGTTAGAATGACAGCGAGAGCTCCATAGTGACACCTCCAAGGTATCCCAGGACCAAGTTCCATTACTATCTGCCGACCCTACTGGATATACGCAAAGTCAGTAAATCGGTACTTTGATCTAGTAATTATGTAGGCACTAGAGTAAAGTACAGGGATACAAGAAAGACGGATCTGCTAAATTACCAGAGGAAGAGATGGGGTCGTAAAAAGTTGTGAGGTTTACCTTATCGGCAGAGCAGTTTTTGGAGAGAAGGCGCCGCTTGGTTGTGGTATCTGAGTGGTATTTAGCAGAGTAAAAACCTAAGTTGCGGACATTCCTTTATATATGTTTTTTTCCCTTTATGTACAGTGATTCATGTGCCACTGAAAATAGGGGCCCGTGAGAGTTAAAATGAGTGAGGTCTAACAACAACATACGCCGGTAGGATTGTTATGAAAGAAAATGCGGATCAGAGGATTAAGTGAGAATAAATGGACGCACATAGAAACATAAATAAAAGAGATAAAATATGAAGGTCTGGAACAAGAGTCCCATGATGTTTCAAGTTTTACGCAAATAACAACTAATGAAGATCATAGTTTATACACTAGATATAGGGGAAATCAAAGGGGATCGAGAGTTGCTTTAAATAGAGACACGACAAGTCTCTCCACATGGCTGTCGAGAACGTCGGATGTAATACATTTGCAGGCTTCAATCCCACCAACAGCATGGGTTTGGATGAGTAGGACGGATGATATGGAAGATTGTGTTAACGAATTTTGCTGAGGGATGTTCCGGGGCCTGTCAATTGCCATTGCTTTGAACTCTCTATTGCCAAAGTTTCTTCCCACATATTTCAAGAGGCATGGAAACATAAGAGCGATTGGCCTTATTTCTTTGTTCATCATGTAGTCTGTGCGGACACTATTGTTGGTGTCCAAGACTATAACACTCCAGGTACTGCAATCAACGCATATCCCAACCTAGTACTTTTTGTCCAGGTTGAATGGAAAATAGAAACGGCCAGCCTCAGCGTAGGACTTCTGCTGCATGATCAATGAGACCACTATCTCATTGAATTTGAAGGTTTCCTTCTTTGAGAGCTTTGAGAACTTTGTATACAGTTTGGTGAACTGAGAGACAAACTTCGTATCCAGAAACAGTGGCATAGGCTGGTGATTCGGAGATGTTAAAGACTGGAACAATGAACCAGTGTGAAACATAAGGACATCCATAACCTGTTGGTAGATGAAAGATGTATAAAAACGTATATTAAAAACTATCTTGCATGGAAGTGGAGTTTAATGTATTAACAGAAAGTAAGATTGTATGTAACTGATCCAAAACAAACCTCAGTCGACAATTGAGTTGATCTTTCTACCACTTTGTAAAGCTCCGTGCTATCAATATTCCCCCGTTCAGTTGAAATCGAACTATATGTGTTAGACAGATTTAACAATTTAAATGGCTAAATTGATGTCAGAAAAGGCTAATTTATTAAATATCTCTCTAACTACAGAAGCTGAAATAATGACTACTTTAACTACCAACGGTTCAGTTAAAAATCAAACCAAGAATGTCTAGTAATGGGACATATTAGACAGGCGACAGGATTCCAAATTGCAAATGTAATTGCTATCTATCTAAGTATAATAAGATGGACTTACAAAGCCGTCTTCTTTTTGTCCATTAGTGCTGAGAATTTTGCCGCATAATCAATGTTTCCTCCTTTATATATAGCATCGGCCACCGCCTCTCTGGCGCGGTTTAGGAAGGCCTTATCGCATTCATACTCATCCATCAGCAACTTATTAGGGACCTTCTGTCTCTTGCTTTTCCTACACCCAGGTGGTCCTTCTTCCTCATCAGCAAGAGCGGTTTCATCTTCAGGATCGTCTGTCGCTTTGTCATTCTTGCCGCACTCCACAAGTGTCTCCTGAGTCATCCCAAGCGAGAAGGATGGGTTGGGAAAAAGCAATGCAGGATCAAGGTGCTGCAATTAATTTTTTTCCATCTATAATCAGGTACCAAAATACTGGTGGAGGTATAATAAATTAACATAGGACAATTAGAGCAAACCAGAAACCTGATCTGCCACAGACTGTTGAGGTGGTGATGTAGGAGGGGGATCTCCTGATTGAGCATCCTTACCAATCACCCCACCCAAATCTGGAGTTCCCTCCGATCCATTGTCGCCGTCCTGTGATTATCTCAAGTGAGCTATGTATCAAAATATTAAAAGCGTAAACGTTGTTTGTAGACGGCTATTATTAAAATTATCCCAGCGGAGGGATTGGTTGCACGGTTTGCAAATTTTATTTCATCTGAGATGATATTGTTGCATCTTGGTTTGTTTGTGTACTGGCATCAGCGACTGTAGGACGAGGGATTTCACTCTGCGGAGGAGACTCGGTTCTGATGGCGGCGAAATTTTGGATTTCAGCGGTTAGAGTAGTGATTTTAGCAACACAATCATGTATCACTCCAAAAACCTCACTAAAATTAGTAAGGATTGTGTCAGTATAGCCATTGAGTTACTCCTGCATAGATGCAATGTTGCCGTGCACAAGTTGAAAATCATCCCTGGGTTTTACTCTGACTAAAATGGCCAACAAATCAACATCTACAACATCTTGTCCCTGAGAGTTGCTGGCCGGTTTGGTTTTCACAGATTTGCGGTTGCCCAAATCAGCTTTGGCCTCCTCGTGCATCCTAAGAACATCATCTTTTGTTGACCCACCAACGAAGTGATCCGAGGTGAATGGGAAATGGTCGTCGATTAACTTCAGCAAATTAGAAACTTTTTGATCTTCCTCGCCGTCTGACCATTGGTAATTTTCATTGTCCCTAGTCTGACCATCTTCATCTAACATGATCGAGTGTACCAAAGCCTGGCAGACACAATATACAGTCCAACATTTTAGTAATTTATCAGATCTCAAATCTAGTAACACGTTTTCTTCCTCCCTTTCTCGTTTTCAGAGGTGTCGTCATCAGCCTCAGAATCCGAGGAGCTTACATCCTTTACTACTTTGGTCAGTGCTGGTACACATTCAACAATGACAAGTTGCAGAACAAGTACGAATCCTTTCAGAGCTATTGTGTTTTGAGACAGTGATACTTCCTTTCTCTCTTTTGTGCTTCTCATTAACATGTCGAATTAGACCCTACCCCAAGGATACGCAAAAAAGGCATCCAAGTCTTTAATCATCTCAGCGCATTCTTGAGAGATGCGAGGTGTGTGTGTCGCCGGAAGTAAAACGGCGGCCAACAAGGCCAGATATGCGTACTTTAGCCTAACTTCCCTGTCAACCACGAAGCATCCTAACAACGGATGAGACTGGAATGTTGGTTAGGGATCCAAAAAGCTCAATCCAGTAGGGTTTATCTTTAATGATTTTCTTGGACGACGTTTTTTTGTTTTTCAGAGGAAATCTCTTGCAGTTTAATCCCGTCACCAACTCGAACTCCCTAATTGAAAACCTAATTGGTTTTCCGGCGAACAGAAACCAGGCTTCATGCTTCTTCGAGACCTTTAGTTGTCTTGATAAGATGTATCTCCCAAACCTACCAGAGAATCTAGGGCAATCTCAATCATTTTGCCAAAAGGAGATTTTCTAATTTCTTGAATTTCTTCGGGGTCAAGAGAATTGAGAATTTGTTTGATTTCGGATGCTTTGTGGTATGGAGTAACTTTGACTCCGGCTGGTTCTTCCCCGGCGTGGAAAAGTCTCTCCGGTAGAACACAAGGTAGCCCTTGCATGTCGTCGCTCTGCTTCATTTGTTCAATGATTTGTAATTCTGTGAAATTTGTAAATGGAGAAGAAAGAGAAGTTATCAAAGATTATTGAGAAGACATAGATACTGGGATAAAAAGTGAAAGTTTCAAATTTTGAATCTTACTTTACGCTAGTAAGTAACACTCTGACAAAGCAGATATGGCAAAGATCGGCTTTCTGAGTAAAAAGATTACGAATCTGCAAAATAGGATTTGTCTCTACCCAACGGTTTCGCGCAGGTAAGAGGTTTGTGTGTTTAAGGGCATTATCGTCAAAAACGCTATGAACAGTCGGGAGTCGTCATGGTTTTGGTAGATTGCAAATTATAACATAAGTTTTTGGCATGGTTCCTAATTTCTCAAAAATGAATGACAATAAAGTTCCATAGAAATAGAAAATTGGTTCGAAGAAAAATCAATCTGAAACGTCTAAAACCAAATATATTAATAACAAATAACGTGGCATTTATAGTCCCAACGTAAAAATTTAAAGGCTATTAACTAATGGGGTCCTTGTTACCCATTTCATTCAACAATAACACGTTCTCCTGATTTCTCTCTGATCTATTCTAGGGTTTGTTCACGCTGACAACGATGATCCAGCTCCTTTACTCGGTGATCTTCGCCGAAATGGCGTTGATCCTCCTTCTTCTCTTCAAGACGCCTCTCCGAAAGCTCATCATCCTCACCTTTGATCGCATCAAACGCGGCCGTGGCCCCGTTGTCGTCAAAACAATCGGCGCCACCGTCTTCGTCGTTCTTATGTCCAGCGTCTACAGCTTGCTTAGTATCCAACGCAGATCAGAGGATGGTGCCGTTCTCAATCCTACAGATCAGGTCCTCGCCTCCAAGCATCTTCTCGAAGCTTCTCTTATGGGTAAATTAACTTCGATCTCTTAAATATGAATTATTGTTTTGACTCCATTAGAGAGGAACAGATTTGACTAGACTATTATAAAAATCTATTCCATGATCTGGCGCTGAATCAACAATTCCAAGTTCGTTTCTTGGTGCTTCTGATAAAACAAAGTGTTAATATGATCTAGGAGTTGGATCTGCGTAAGAATTAAGGAGTTTTATTTAGAGAAAAATTGTGATCTTTAACACTCACATCGTGATATCAGATAGATTTCAAAAGGATTAGTCTACTTTGCTTGGGGCTTGTTGCTGACTATTTAATATTTCAGGGTTTGTGCTATTTCTCTCGCTAATGATTGATCGACTACACCATTACATAAGAGAGTTGCGGTTGCTGAGGAAGACAATGGAGACTGCTAAGAAACAGAACAGAGGTTTTGAGGATGGGAAACACACGAGCGGGGAGGAAGTTAAAGCTCTCGGGGAAGAAATCACTGCATTGAAGGCAAAGATCAAGAAACTAGAATCTGAAAGTGAAAGCAAAGGTAAAGAACTGAAAAGTGCACAAGCTGAAACAGAGGCTCTGAGAAAATCAGCTGATGGGTTTCTGATGGAGTATGATAGGCTGCTTGAGGATAATCAGAATCTCAGTAACCAGTTAGGGTCCATCGGCCATAGCCCAGAGGGAAAGAAGATTATGTGAAATATATGAAACAGAGAGATACAATGGTAGAGCACAAAAGAAGATTATGTGTAATATTCTGTTTTGTAGAGCACAAAAAAAACTTTAGGAAATGTGTGATTTCTGTTTGCTTTCATGCGTTATGATATATTTTTCTCATCTTTGAAAATACTTGAAAGTGTTTTGATATGTAGTGGACTTGAATTGCGGTATATATATATGAATCCTAATTGGGCAAAACGAACAAACATACTAAACCCCTAGGTTCTAACTTAATCACGAGCAAAGGGCTTTGTTGTTAAATCCATTTAATGGATCTACTGCCTGATTGTTCGCTTTCTTATACTATTGTAATCGGTCCAGCCTGATCGTTCGCTTTCTTATACTTTTGTAATCAGTCCACAACGGTTGATGATGATTTCATGTGCCATTGATAGATCACTACCTAGTTTACCAAAATGAGATATTGTTCATACATTCAGATCTGAAGGAGAACCTTTTTTTTTTAAGGAGAATACTTTTGGACACAAGAGGATACAAGTTAGAGAAATTACACTCCATACACTCCACTTATTGACAAATTAGGAGAATATCTTTACAATCTGCTTGACACCGTGCAGAATGTGTAAAGGATACCATTTCCCCTATCAACACAGGACTTATCCTACGAACTAAAAGATAACAAGATCTATTGTTAAAGATTTAGAAAGATTTAGAGAGATATGCGTATCCTTCATATCTTATGTCAGAGAAGAGATCTATGTTAAGATTTGGTATTTGAAATTTGAAAGCGTGTGATTTGGGAGCTCCTTTTGAAAACCTCTCTCCATTCAAAAACCTCTCCCAATATCAAAACCTCGAGAAAATCACTGATAATGGAAATGGGAAATCGAACGGATGAGGAGCTGTCACGGAGAGTACCAGAGAGGATGTTTGCTCTTGACGAGGAACCCGTTGGTGTGAGAGTTACACCTTACCACAAACCATTTGCGATTAGTGATATAATTCTCGCACTTGTGGAAGATGAAGTCGAAGTTCTGCGTCGATCCCTTTTCGGCAAGCTTGTAGAAATAGCAGAAAAACCAACATTCTCAGGAAGATTTGGGAGATATATGATCTCGAGGCAATTGAAGGTGAAGAAGAAACATGAAATATGGTTCTTGTTTGCAGGCAAACCAATTCGATTTTCACTGAGGGAATTTGCCATAGTCACGGGTCTCAACTGTCGTAAGTTTCCAGCGCGTGGAAAATATGAAGGCAAAGAGAGCAGTAAACGAGAGGCCATACTGGGCTGAGCTTTTTGGAACATTGATAGAAGTCCCTGTCAGCCAAGTCGTAAGAATGCTGAAAAAAAGAAGCGTAAGTGATAAAGAAACAAGGTGTTGGTGTCAAAAACGGTAATCTCGAAATCAACGTCTACGATTATTTCTGTTGAGATCAAAATCGTTACTTTTCGCAAAAATAAAAATAAGTTTTATAAAACACGAGAAGTTGTTTTATAAAATTCTAAGGATTTTCCGAACAAAGAAAATCCGCGGAAAAACTTGGATCGTTATCTCGAAAGAACGAACAAAACAATCGCCGATAACACGATTGCCCATGTTAGGCGAAAAACTGCAAAAAGCCGCATCCGTCGTAAACCGCGAGCAGGTTCGACCGAACCAGTTCAACGTACGACGAACCGAACCAGCCGGTTCAGCTCGCCATACGGAAAACTGGTTGGTCCCGGACAAGCTCGCCGTACGGCGAGCTTGTCGCCTCAAAGCAGCTCGCCGTACGGCGAGCTGAACCAACCCAGTTCGGCTCGCCGTACGTCGAGCTGACCGTCCCGGGCCTTGAACTCCCCCATCCTCGACAAAAGGCATACGTCACTCGATTCGATCGTGCCCTGAATTCTGATCGAAACGTCTTTCATTTTGTCTCAATCCGTCTCACCGTTCAAGAGTTACGATAAAATCGTAAAAGTCTTCTTTTCTCGTAAAGTTCGGGAACATTGTAAAAAACGGCAACGATTAAGACAGAACATCGTACATTGCCAAACTATACGATTAAAATCGAGAAATCTAATAAAAACGACATCGTATCAGGAAACGATCTCATCTAAAATCGTAAAACGGTTTTTATCGCAAAACAGCTCGGACAGCCCGAAAGCGCGATAAAAGTCCACTTGCGACTTTAAACGAAATCCAGCCCAAAGATACAACGATGGTTTGAAGATTTACTCGCAGAAAGAAGATAAATGTCAAGTTTGAAGATAAATAGAAGATTTCCGCAAGGAAAAATGAAATATCGAGATAAATGGAAGATTCCCGGTAAACTCGAATCTAGGCAAAAAGGAAGGACTAAACCGCCTAAGGGGGGAGTATATAAGGAGAAGGCCAAGGACAGAGAAGGGGGACGAATTCTAGACCTAGAAAAATGGCTGTTAGCTTAGGCGAATTTAGGACTTAGGTGGCTAGACTAGCAAGTCGAATCCTTAGAACGTTTTGTCATCTAAGTTCCGCGATTCTCTTTGTGACAGCATTCAATCTCTTTATCAATAAAAGCTTTTACGCAAATTCTTCATCTGTATTCTGTCTATATTTTTCGTTTTAGTGGTTTCCGCAGAGATCAAGGACCTCAGGAGAATTAGGGTTTTTCCTAAGTTTCCATGTTTGATGGAAAATTGACAGTGCGAATTTCGGTTCCCACAGTTTGGCGCTAGAAAGAGGGGGGGGGGGTCGGATTCTCTTACACAATAACCGCTAAAACGAACAAGAAGAGATATGCCTAACTTAAACGGCGACGTCATCTCGTTCAAGGAAAGAGCAACGATCGATTCGATCAAACCTTTCAACGGTCTTCTTGTCATCGAGCTGACGATCCAGAATATGGATGTCGCGAGGATATTAGTCGATATCGGAAGCTCGGCTGATATCATCTTCAAAAGCACTCTCCAGAGAATGGAAATCGATCTGTCTGAAATCGCGGGAAATTCAAGCCCGCTAGTAGGACTCTCGGGAGAAGTCACCATGACTCTCGGCACGATCAACCTTATTTTTCGAGCCGAAAGCATAGCCAAAAACGTCGAATTCCTAGTCGTCGATCGGCCCAGTCCTACAACGCAATCGTAGGGACGCCATGGTTGAATTCGATGCAAGCGGTACCATCGACGTACCATATGTGTCTTAAGTTTCCGACTCCACGCTGAATCGAGACCATCTGGGGAAATCGGAGAACTTCGCAGGTTTGCTATGCCGCGGATTTAAAACGGAAAAATCTGCCGGCTGACGCTCCTTCCAAAAAGAAAAAGAAATTTTCTGCCCTCGACGACGCCCCAGAAGTAGATAAAACGGAAATATTTTGGAAGTTGCGAGCAGCCGAGGCACTGGAAGGTAATCGCGAGCCTACCTGTGAACCTGTCATCTCGGTATGCATCGATGAAGCCTTCCCAGAACGCTGCGTCAAAATTGGTGCGAACCTGAGCGAGACTTTGAAAACCGAGCTTCTGACTTGTCTGAGAAGAAACTCAAACACGTCCGCATGGACTGCGGAAGACATGTAAGGAATTGACATTAACATCACATGTCACGAACTCAATGTTGACCCAACATCCCAACCCGTCCAACAAAAAAGACGGAAACTGGGGGCCAGAACGCGCCGAAGCGGTCAACAACGAAGTCGACAGACTCCTCAAAGTCGGATCGATCACAAAAAGTTTGATATCCTGACTGGCTTGCTAATCCTGTCGTCGTTAAGAAAAAGAATGGTAAGTGGCGAGTCTGCGTCGATTTCACTGATCTCAATAAAGCGTGTCTTAAAGATAGTTACCCGCTGCCGCATATCGAACGCTTAGTTGAGGCAACCGCAGGGAAAAAACTCTTATCTTTCATGGACGCTTTTTCCGGGTACAATCAGATCATTGATGAACCCTGACGATCGAGAGAAAACCGCGTTCATATCTGATCGCGGAACTTACTTCTATAAAGTAATGCCCTTTGGCCTTAAAAATTCTGGCGCGACTTATCAACGACTCGTCAATCGCATGTTCTCCGAACAACTCGGAAAAACGATGGAAGTGTACATCAACGATATGCTTGTGAAATCACTCGAAGAGTGAGATCATGTTGTGCACCTCCAAGAATGTTTCGAGAGACTCAACCTTCAAAACATGAAGTTAAACCCTGCGAAGTGTCGGTTTGCTGTCGCATCCGGAGAATATTTAGGGTATCTCGTCACTTACCGAGGGATTGAGGCCAACCTGAAAAAAATCACGGCACTGATAGAGATGGTATCCCCTAGGACAAAACGCGAAGTACAAAGACTGACGGCAGGGTCGCAGCGCTTAACCGCTTTATCTCGCGATCAACGGACAAATGTCTTCCTTTCTACGAAACATTAAAGGGAAAAAAAGTTTGAATGGTCCGAAGAATGCGAAAAAGCTTTCCAACAGCTAAAGCATTACCTAGCTACCCCGCCAGTACTTGTGAAACCCGTAGAAGGAGAACCACTATTTCTTTACATCACGGTATCAACGACCGCCGTAAGTGGTGTCCTCATCCGAGAAGAACGCAGCGAGCAAAAGCTGATCTTTTACTTAAGTAAGACGCTACTAGACGCGAAAACACGATATCCGATGATTGAAAAATTGGCGTTAACGGTGGTCATGTCGGCAAGGAAACTAAGACCATATTAACAGTCTCATACTATTGTCATGCCCACTTCTTTCCCTCTCCACACAATTCTGCACAGTCCCAGCCAATCGGGAAGATTAGCAAAATGGAAAATCGAGCTGAGCGAGTACGACATTGAATACCGCGCAACGACTTGCGCGAAATCGCAAGTACTCGCAGACTTCTTGGTAGAACTCTCGACGGAAGGCACACCGGACCAGAAGCCGAACTCGACCTGGATCCTTTACGTTGACAGATCCTCATCCAAGCAAGGCTCCGGGATCGGCATCCGACTCGCATCCCCGACAGGAGAAGTGTTGGAACAATCGTTTCGACTGATTTTCCACGCTTCAAACAACGAAGCCGAATACGAAGCCTTGATCGCAGGACTGCTACTAGCTCACGGTTTAAAGATTTGTAATCTCCACGCTTACTGCGATTCTCAGCTAGTGGCTAGCAAGTTCAGTGAGGAATACAAAGCAAGGGACGAAAGGATGGAAGCATACATGACCTTGGTCAAGGACCTAACCCGAAAGTTTGATCAATTCGCCCTTACTAGGATTCCTCGAGCTGAAAACGCCCAA